TTTTTATGGCTGAATAGTATTCCATTATATAAATATACCACCTCTTCTTTATCCAGTCATCTGTGGATGGACATTTAGGCTGTTCCCATGTCTTGGCATTGTAACTAGTGCTGCTATGAACAGGTGTCTTTTTGAAGTAGGTATTATATAATTTAGAAAGGAGTTGTGTTCATTAAGCAAAGAGCACATTCTTTGGGAGATAAAGCCTTGAATATACGAGTGTTTGCTGTAATGGGAGGGCAGGGGACAGGAGTTGCGTGCACAATCACGTTTCATGCCAAGGGCAGCAGGAGCTGGAGGCAGCACAGTGACTGGGGTCCCAGCTGGAAGTCTGAGTGCAGGCTGCAGGTGCCTGGGGAGCACTGTGCTGCCAGCACAGAGGTCGGTGCCTGCATCGTTAGGCTCAGAGGCTGAAGTGCTCAGTACGCTGTCCTTTCTTGTTCCACCAAATGAGCAGTCAGTTTCCCATTTCTGGTCAATTCGCCACCCTTATATAAGGTTATCAAGAGGACAGGACTTTCCCCAGCATCCTGCTTGTACCATAGCAAAATATTGAGTATGCTCGAGGAACTGCAGTTCATGGAGACGGCCTCTCCTTCCTGGATGGGCATAGGATGAGGACTCTGATTCAGCTGTTGGCCATTCACGCCTGTTTGGAAAGACAAAAGAAGGTATTCAAAAATCATTTTTTAGATCACCTTTCTCAGAGCTGTGATGGACACTCTATTCCCTAACTCCCTAGCCCTGCCTCTGGGCTTCTCCCTTTTCCCCCTCCCGCCTTTGCTTTTCTCCTTCTGTTTCCTTCTTTTCATAGACCTGATTAAAACCTCACCTCCTTCCCTCATAGAATTTCCACCCCTTCAGAATTCCCCGTGCAAGGTTCAGAAAACCCTCAATACTCACATCTCAGCTGCATCCATAGGATTATTAGTAAACCTTCAAGGAACATCCCCGTCCCAAGGCTTTCAGCAAGAATTACTTCCTAAAAGAGTTTTTGCTTCAAGAAGCTACTCTGGGTTTAGAGTAATACAATGAATACCATCGTGATGTTAAAATATCTGTTCTGTGTATCTGCCAATCTGGAGGTTTCTCTGAATTTTGAGCTGTTGATACGAATAGAGGCACTGCCCCCTTGTGGCTAGTCACTAGATTGCTGTCCTTTCATGCTACTATTTGAGTTTGTAAAAAAGAATTCTATTTCTCCCACTCATTTGAGGAGCGCTTATTAAGTACCTACTACCTGCTAGGGAAATACAGAGACATGAACAAGACAGACAGGAACCCTGCCCCTGGGCATCTTACAATTTCTCTTTGGAAAATCAGTAAAAGCTAAATGATTAGCATGG